TTTTGGTAGGTTGAGACTCTTTCGCGCATATATATATATATATATATATATATATATATATATATATATATATATATATATATATATATATATATATATATATATATGTATATGTATATATATATATATATATATATTGACTCCGATATGAAAATGGGTTTAGACATAGAGAGAGAGAGCGCCGCCGCTAGGGTTAGATCTCACCACCGTCGCTGGGGCTTCGCATCCAACTTCAAGGTCACCGGGGAAGGAAGAATACAAGGTAGACCAACCTTTGTGAAGAATACTGGAAGAGGAGATTGCCAGAAACAAAAGGAGGATAGAGATGGAAGTTCGAGCTGCACAATCATCGATTTTGCCTTTGGAATCCAATCGAAAAGGTTTGAGTTCAGATTTTCAGCCTTTAATAATCTATGTCAAATTTCTGAGGGAAGACGATGGAAAACCTTCCGCTTCTGGACTAATCTTAGAATTGTTCGCTGGCTAAGTTCCTGCTTTGAATATTTAATTCTTAATCTGGTGGTCACCAGTTGGAATCAGAGCCTTAGGGAGGGTAGCAGAACTTTCAGATTCTCTCTGGATTCAAATGCATCTGGGTTTTTTGTTAAAATTGTTGAGCAACACATGTTTTGTTATACTACCATTTTTGTACCTGAGGATATTTGCAGGCATGGATTCAGAATTTTCTTGGCTCACCTTAATAAGGCAGGTCATGTTCTTGAGAACGGTAAGGATAAATCTTTAGGTGAGGAGCAACCCCATTCTATTGATACATCCATTTCTAAATCTCTGTTTGAATCTGACATTGGAGGGACAGCCATACAACCGATTTCCACATTAGCAGCCAATGATGGGTCATTTGTCTTGAATTCAAATCAGTCTTCTCCAAATTTCGAGCTTTTTACAGATGGTGCTAATGCTACTCAATCCTTCCCAATTGATGATCAAGATGATTTGAAAAAATCCCTACTTACTGCAACTCTAGCTCCTTCTAAGCAGGCAGTTTCTGCCCCTTTTGATGCATGTAAGATGGGTCTTAATTCTGTTTGCTCATATCAAAGCATAGATAGTTCTGCTAAGAGCTGCCTCAATTATGCAAACACAATTCGGTTGCCTCAACTTCACAACACTTCCACAGCTCTCAACATTCACGCACTACCTTTCCAGGCCTCCATTCCAGTCCTAAAGCAGCCCCAACTAAGCAAACCTCTCAAGGAACTAAAAGAGAAGACAAAGGAATCAGAGCCAAAGGCTAACAGTGGAGGTCTCCAGCAAGGTAAGTCTCTTAAGAAATTGAAAGCATTGGCATTCCATAAGGAGGCAGTTCAAACAATTGCAGTTACCACCAAACCCTTGGGCGTTTTAGACTTGAAGCTAATTTATGAACGCTCCTTGATAAGTCCTTTTCGTTCTTATCATTTACATCATATTCTAAACGTTATTGCACGTAAATAGTATTTAATCATCTCATAAAATATGATTTTAATGGATAAAACTCTCATTTTCGTTCTAAGAGTCATAAAATGGGATTCCACGTGAAATCATCATAAATCATCCATTTATGTTCAAATACTTGAGAAAAAGGGAATAAATCATCAAAGGATCAAGATTCGGGCTTGAACGAGCTTCCGGGAGGTCAAAAACAGTGTTTGGGGCCAAAACGGAGCGAAATTGGGCCAAAATCATGAACCAGCCGCGAAGCCCAACGGACCAGCGCCTCCAGGCGTCCAACTTGGACGCTTGGCCAAGTTGGCGCTTGAAGTTGGGCGCCTGGGCTAGAATGCAATCCAAGAAAGACACGTGGCAAAATCTGGTTGGCCGGAACAGCTCAGGCGTCCCGATCTGGACGCTTGGACTTGGACGCTTTGACTTGGACGCCTTGGATCCATTCCTATAAATACAGATCGATCCCTCTCATTTTCATCATCCAACTTCATCCCAACTTCGGGATTTACTCTTCCAATCTCCATTATAGTTTGTAGTAGTTAGTTTTGAAGTATTTTCAGAGGTCTTCACTCCAGATCTGTTCTGTTCCGCTCTTACGGAGGTTGTAAGTTTTCTCTATTTAATAAAAAGATGTTTTAATCCATGTTTGCATAGTATGAGTTAGGGCCCGGATGTCTGGGTCCGGACTAGTTTGGTTGTTTATTTTTGATGTTAAATTAATGTTGGAATGGTTAATCTATTGTTCTTGCATTACCTAGTTAATTAAACTCGAAAGATTTAATTGGCCATTTATTGAGAAAATATTGTACGCCAAAAGGCTATGATATTCAAGTACAACGGATTAAGTACAAATCTAGAAATGGATGAGTAGTAATAGAAATATTATTATTCTAATTGTTAATTTAATATGATAAAATAAATCCAAATGATGTCCAGACCCTAGGTCCAGATCTATACTTATACTATGTAAACTTAATTTATTATTTTTACTCTGCTCCTTTTATAATCGTTTCGAGAAGACTTTCATAAACCAATCCTAATCTTCGCCTAATTAGAGTAATTAAACTAATTCCCTTTGTCCACTCCTCGAGAGATACGACACTCGGAGAGAAAACTAACCCTTTACTGGGAAGGTTTACTACCCGAAAAACTACAACTGTCACTCCTC